GTGTCTGTGTCCATGTGACGATGTAAATGTTTTAGGTAGTCCTGGTGCAGGTGCTTCTCTTGGAGGGTTTGGTGGTATATAAGTTCCACTAGCTAGTATATAAGTTCCACCAGCTGGTATATAAGTTCCACCAGCTGGCACATATGTTCCATCTGCAGCATAATGTCCTACCTGACTTTCGTTCTTAAGAAAGCATTTACTAGGTCTCTTTTGGTCTGTTGTAACTCTTTTTCTTGACTTTCCACAACAGCTGTTCTAACGGCGTCATGGGCACTTTGAACTGCCTGTCTCGTTGCTGCATCTGTTATTTTCGTCATATTTTGTGCTACTTCTTTTAACTCTTTGTCGAAACCTTCAGACTTCAGTTTCTTTCCAGATGAGAAGTCGTTCACTAGTTTCACCTTACTATGAAGAGCTTCGAAGGCGTTCTTAAAGTCAGCATTCGTTAAAGCTTCATTTGAACTGTCTTCATCCGCTTGTATTTTTGTCCTTATTGACCCTATAAGTTGGGCTGCTTTAGCGTTGGCTTGGGCGTCTAACCAGTCATTATTAGCTTTTATATATTCTGCGCTTTTCATTGCCTTTTGCATGGCTGCGTCGTTATTTTTACTTTCTTGTGCTAAGTTTTCATACTGTACGGTTTGGTTTTGCAACTGTAAAAGTTTTTCTGCCTTTACATTTGCTTCAACTTCTTTTTTATACTCATCGCTATCCATATATGTCTTCAGGGCTTTTTGTTTTATTTCTTCATCTTTCAGTACTTTATATTGAGTAGTATGGTTTTTCAAATTTATAACATCTTGTTCCATTTTTGCTACTTCTGCTGCTTTTTCTGACACTTTTTTCGCATATTCCTCTGTACTTAGTTCTTTCAGTTGTTCTTCTTTCTTTTTTCTCTACGTTTAACTCATTGAGTTTCTTTGTGTGTCTGTCATATTCTAGTTTCTTTTCGTTTTCACTTATTTGTTTCTGTATGTCTATGTTTGACTTTTTGACATCTGTTATTTGATTTTTGAGTGAACTCAAATTCATTTGACTTTGAGGGTTATAAGCTGTTCCGTCTGCAGCTCACCATAGCCTGCCATTTTCGCTAAAAGTGCCGCTCTTAAACCTCACTCTGTGCACCAATAACTCGGTTTAAAAGCATAGGGTTGCTTGACATTTGTTGCAACATAGTGGGGTCATTCAGCATTTGTTGTTGCAACTGTTGTTGTGGTGTCAGTTTTACTATTGGATGTTTCAATGCTCCCTTCCTCTTACGTATATTCTTACGTAGCTTACGTGGCATTTTAAGTGAAGTTAAAAAGCGGTTTTATACTAAACATCTTCGGGCTAGAGGGCGCAACGCGCCTGGAAGCCCCACTACCTTTTTTTTTTCAAGTAGATGTGATTTGATTCTGTACAACTAAATATTAATATATTTAAAACATTGTAGAATTAAAATTTTTGACGATATCAATTTATAAAAAAAATGCAAGCGAATCCTTTTAATAAGCTAAGATACGATTTGCTTCACTTTGTCCACTACGTAGTAAGTGTTCA